AAAAAAAAAAAAAAAAATATAGTTTGGGTACTCTAAGCTAATGAGAGCCCTTTAAAACAAGTATATACAATCAAAAGTCTAAATCTAAAAGGCACTTCTCCAAATGCCTAGTTCAAATCGAAACAGAATGGGAGAAAAACAGAAAGATGAACTATTTACAAAACATTACAAAACATCTGATGATAAATAGACCCATGTTCTTGAAATAGATAGATTAATCAGCAAAGGGTTCCCACACTCCAATTCAAAGTGTGCCCCTTTAAATAAAAAATACTGATCAAATTGGCTCGTGCACTCGAGCTCGACCCCTCTCAAGCGATGCTGAACTTCCGAGCACGGGCAAACAGGCTCGACCAGTCGAGTTCAGCCTTGCTCCTCTTCAACGCCGGTACTCCTAACGGGCTATCCTTACTCTGTCACACACCAAACAGCATTTTAAGTTTTAAAGCTTCTTTCTAAAGAGATTCGATTCGGAACTCTTATATGTCCAAGGTTCAATATTGAAAGAATGGCTAAATTGTATTTTTAGTCCTGCTGGTTTAACGTCATAGTAATTTTAGTCCCAAGATTTTTGCATTTCACCTATGATTTTGTTGCAATTTCAGTCCTTTTTCGGGACTGAAATTACAACAAATTCTCAAATTCCCAAATTTTTAATTAGCAATTTAAGTCATTGATTTAAAGTTGTGTTGCAATTCGAGTCTTGTAATTTAAAATTTTATTGCAATTTCAAACTTCAAATGAGTGAAATTGCAAAAAAATATTGAAATCACAGGACCAAAAGGCAAAAAATTAAAACCTTGGAACTAAAATTGCTATAGCACCGACTAAAAATGCATTTTATTCATTCAGAGGTTCTCCATGACTTTGTCCGTGTCAACAAAAAATTCGAGTTACCGCTGGCTTTTTTAAAACTAATTTGATTAATATTAATATTTTTTTTCAATATGAAATCGAAAAAAGTACTCACAATCAAGCAAGTCCCGGCATCAACATCGCAAACCGGGTACTCGTGCGGGCAGCAGCTCGACTGGTCGTCACAGCAAGTGGCAGACTCCATCGGGCAGCAACCCCAACCAAAGCAGAACTGCCCGAATTGGTACACGCAGCAGCAGGTGCTGCCTGCCGGGCAGGAGAAGTACTCGTCGCACTCAGTGCTGGGCTTCACGGGGGTCGGAGGTGATGGGCCGGGATTGGGAGGGTTCTGGCCCGTCTTGATCGGGTACGAGGGCTCGACTGAAATCCCGCACTTGCCTGAGGTGGCACTGCCCCCCAAGTTGCGCTCGAGGCGGATATAGCCACTCTCTCCCCAGCTCGGGCCCCACGAGTTACGCACGATCCAATAGTCTGTACCGTTTTCCGTGCCGTAGCCGACGGCCACCACGCCGTGGTCCAGGTCGGTCCCACATTGCCCGGTGAAGACACCCTATAAATATTCCATAAGTTTGAAATTTTAATTTATTCTATTATTTTAAGGAGCTAGATATGAAGAAAGAAAAGGTACACATTTATGTACTTACCTCACAAACTTAAACATTTTTTTTGGCTACGGCTTATATTTGAAAAACCTAACTAATAAGCTAGCTTATAGCTTTTAAGTGAATTTCAAGATTTATAACTGATAGCTTATGAATTATGGCTCAAAAGCTAGCTTATATATGATAAGAGTGTTTGGTAAAATTAAGTTAATTGAAATAAAAAATTCAATAGGCTTTTTAAAAAGCTACCCCATAAAACTTATGAGATAAGCTTGAGCATTTTAAAAAAAAAAAAACTCATCCTCCCAAACCAAAGCTTATTTGAATACCAGAAGCTTATAAGCTAGCTTACATGTTTACCAAACAAAGCCTACATCTTTTTCTGTTTTTCTTTTGTTGATCTTAGCACGAAACCAATATGCAGTGAGATAGTGAGATCTTTTTTGTTTTTTTGGCAGTTCCGAAAGCAAACTGACTAAATTCGGTGGTAATTTTTAGTAGTAGTCTATGGAAGAATCTCGCAAGGTAACGCAAGAATAAAAGTTTTTCGAAAGATTGAAATTTTATGCAAAAGCGCACTAAAAAAACATCATTCTCAAATCTCTGTCACTGTACCGATTGGTAGAGCTGGAAAGCTCTGCCGCCAGCTTCAATGGCGACACTGACTGGTTGATGAGCCACAGCCTTCTTCAAAGCTTGTTCATCATTTGCAGGAACATCTTCGTAAGAATCTATGGAGACCACGTGTGCATTTTTCTGATAGAATGTTAAAAGTTAAAACATGTCTTTTTTGTTACAAAATTGTGAAAAAAGATTGAGAGAAAAAAGTAAAAAGAATCCTTTTGAATTCATACCCGGAAGCTATCGCAAGTTTCATCACGAGCTCTGTACGGGTAATCATCCTCTGTGTCCAGACCACCATTGTCAATCACAAACTGAAAGCCATAGTCCATTAGACCGCCATTACAACCTTGGTTATACGATCTGTCACAATCGACCAGTTCTTGTTCGGACAGGACTACCAAGTCCCCTGTTACTATCTTATTTATTCCTTCAACAGCGGCAACTGTTGAAAAAGCCCAGCAACTCCCTTTTTTGGGAAAAAATAAAAGAATAAAACATTAACCACTTAGTCCCTAAATGAATTCAGATATCTTTCAGAAAATACTTACATACATAAGAAATCAAGAACTGATAACATATATATAAATTCATTTGTTCTTATGTCCAAAGATATATTAGTGAAGTTTCTAGAAAAAAAAAATATATGAAACGACGCAATGCACCTTGGGTCTACGGAAACAGTCTCCTTGTATAATTACAAACAAGGGTATAACTGACCCAGACCCCAACCAGTTGGAAATATATGGGTATGTTGTTGTTGTTATGTCAATTTCACATATTGAGTAATGAGTATATGTCCAGCTGAAATCAAATCTACAACTATACAATTTTCAAAATGGTAACCCAATAATAACAAAATCAATAGTAATATGCTTGTTTTTTAGGAGAAAGACAAAATAAATTTGTCTATCTTCTTCCAAAAAATCCAAACTGAACTATCCAATCAAGAACCCCAGTCAGATCACCTCTGAAGAAAATACAATCCCTGATCTAACATCCGTTCATCATAATATATGATAAAAAAATACAGTTACGATCGAATTAAAGAGCTGCTTACCACACTGGCCCTGATCTTTGACTGGCGCGACGGCGCCTTTCTCCCTCCAGTCAACGGAATCCGGCAGCTCCTCGCCGGCCTTCGCCGCGTACCGCTCGCTCGCCCTCCGGCCCATCAACTCGGGCTTCCTGTTCATCCTCCCGCCGACGAACTTCGACCGGTACTCCTCGTTCGTCAGATCTGCGAACCGGTTCAGGCCCACCTTGTACGTCCGGTCGACGGAGTTATGCTCCTCGATGAACCTCAGGTTGTCCTTGAAGATCTCGAATCGCCGCTCCTTCTCGCCGAGGGCGTTGTACGCCTTCCCGTGCCTCACGAGCCACGATTCGTACAGCGCCTGGGTCTCGGCCTCGGATCGGGCCGGGCCCATGTCATGACCCAGATCGTAGGTGATTATGGACATGTCGAGGGCCGAGGAAACGAGGAAAAGCGAAAGGAGGACGGCCCAGAACGAGATTTTTTTGGGAGAAGCCATTGTTGAAGTTTTTCTTTGTCCTTTTTTTCTTTCTGTTCTGAAGAAAATTAACGTATGGGCGAAGATAAAATCTTGATAATTTGGGGATTTTTATAGGGATAGTAGGGCGGTGGAAAATGAAGCGAAAAAGAAGGGTTGTTAATGGGGACGATTGATTGGGGAATGGGGGAAGAAAGCGAGAGATTGAGTTGCAGAGGGGATGGGATTTTCTTGGGAATTGAAAAAAGAGAAGAAAACTGATTTGGGGAATATGGTTTTTTTTTCTTCCTCTACTTTACTAACCTTGCGACTTCCTTATGAATGTGGGATTTTGTTCTATCACTAGGGGGGACTTTATCATGGACTTCGACTGGTTTGGGATTTGGAAGCAAGAAGGGTGTTAGTGGAAGTGGATAACAGCAGTGTGGTTGCCATGGTATTGGGGGATGATGATAACTTTGGCCTTCATGCATCCATTATCCAAGCTATTCGAGTTGCTCGACAAGGAGTGGGAAGTTCGAGTGTCTCATATTTACAGGGAAGGGAACTACTCGACAGATAAGTTAGCTTCTTTGGCTGCTGGAGTATCGGTGGGGTATCATCGTCTTACTGCTCCACGGCCGGATCTTGGCCACTGGCTGAATCATGATAGTTTAGGGGTGTCTCACCCACGCCGTGAGTTGATCTAATATTTCCTAGGCATTAGCCTCTTTCTTTGTACCAAAAAAAAAAAGATTGGATATGGTTGATTAACCAATATTATTCCTCATTTACTAATTAGGATTAGGATAAAAATACAGATGACGCGGCATAAATTGACATACGCATGTATCTTGTTGGCGAGATAAAAAAATCCGGTCATTGGGGTGTGAATAATTTATCCTTGGTCTCAAATGACCTTTAAATCCCAAAATAAAATATTATTTAATTTAAAATAATAACATTTTATTTATAGAATATTAACTTAACTAATTTTACTTAATTTACATTAATTTTATTTAATTTAAAATAATATATATAATGTAGAAAGTATTAATTTAAATATTTTTATTTAATGTTAAAAATATTATTTAATAAAAAATAATTTAATTTAACATTATTTATTGATAAAATATTATTTTAAATAATTTTATTTGATTTAAATTAATGTTATTTAATCTGTAAAATATTAATTTAAATTATTTCGTTTAATTTATAAATATTTTTAATTATTTAATGTATAAAGTATTAATTTAAATAATTTTATAATCTAAAATAATATTATTTAATTGAAACTAACTTTATTTAATTTAAAATAATATTATTTAATATTTAAAATATTCCTCAGTTAATTTTAGTTAATTTAAAAAAATATTTTTTTATATAAAATAATTTTATTTAATTTAAAATAATATTATTTAATTTATAAAATAATAATTAAATAATTAAATCGGTAATCTAATGTATTATCATTGACTTTTATCAACTTTGATAAACATGAGACAATTTTCAAAAAAATTGTATCCTATTTAGTAAACAATTGACCAAATCTAAGTCATGGGATAGATTGTTCTATCCCATTTTTTCTCAATCAAAGCTAGTAAACGAGGCCTTAGTAGATTGGCCTAATAATTAAATTAACGTTATTAAATATATATATATAATTTTATTAATATAAATGTAAGTATGATATTTTATAACATAAATATGTATTTTTTATTTTAAAAATTATATCTTTGATCAACTCCACTATCTTACACAACAATTTATAGCAAGAGGTCTAATTCAATAGATTGTTTGAGTAGTGTTAGATATGATACACAAAGCTTGTAAAACCAGCTCTCTTTTTTTATTTGTTTTTTTTAAAACATCAATTACAATTAAAGTGAACTCAAACATAGTACTGTTGGTAACCAATTGGTTACAAAGAAATCTTATGGGTCACTTGATAGAAGAAACGAACCATAGGAGTCTTTTTAGCATAAGGCTCCCCCTCAACAGAAATCAAACAAACAACAAAATAAAAAGGAACCATGAAACTAGGAAAAAACCTAAGTACTAAAATAAAACTAAAGAAATAAAACTCAAATATAGGCACCACAAATTCCATACTTCAAATGGCTATGGCTAATGCTACTCATATTTGAAGTCAACAAATCGGATCCACTCTTCAAACTCAGTAACCAAACAGTTGCTGGCGACCCAACGAGAGGTACACCGACACCATCTCCTCAATTGTGACCGAGCGAGAGGTACACCGACAATAGACCACTGGAAGAAAGATGGGATCCAATTCCACCGCATTTGGTTCCAACAGGACTTGATCAAAAGACGCATGTACAAAAGGAGCGACGACTCCAATGCCTACACCAGCCACTCCCCGACCGGAGTGATTGACTGAACGACGACCACCCCATCCTCCTCGCTAGCAAGAAAGAGACCCACGACACCAAGCACAACTTAGAGCGTCGGCGAGGTGATTTAGAACGTGAATGACGAAGAGGAAATATGAGATAACTCTCTCGATAAAACTAACAAAATATCAGATTGATTCTTTATCAAAACCCATTGGCTATGATGGACAACTGATAAATGTATAGTCCTGACAAACTACTTATCTTGCCTAAAGAGCTATGTCAGATATTCATTTACTTGCCAAACTAACAATAAAACTAAGAAAATAAAATAATAATAATAATAATAATAATAATAATAATAATAATAATAATAATAATAATAATAATAAAAAGGATCAATAATAAAAAAAATAATAATCTAAATACGAACTCGATCCTATTTATCTAGAAGCGCAATCGCGGTCTCGTCTCCATCATCCTCCCCCGGCTGAAAAGAATTTGGTCGCGAATCCGAACCCGTCTCATCTCTGGCTCATGCAAAAGGGCCAAATGCGTCACATGAAGATCATCTGATGAACGCACATGAGAGGACAAGCAAAGATGGTAGGAGTCCTGAGTGAGTCAGTCAATGATCTCGTAGGGGCCGATCCTACCGTTCTGCGTGGAAACTTTTATTGTGTATATGTGTGTATTTTTTATATTAGCTTTAGGTTTTCTTTAAGTAAATGTAGTCCTAGTTTTGTATATATATTCTAGGTTAATAGAAAGTTGTATCATCCGATGAGATAATCTTTCTTGCTATATTCGTCTATCTCCTTCTCATATCATGGTATCAGAGCCTAATTTTTTCCATTAAATCTGATCGCTCCCATCGATTTGGATTGGTAATTTCGATCAACTCTGTTCGTCGTCATCATCATGATAGATTGCTGCTCGAATAAGTCTCCACCATTGCACGAGTTTTGGTATGCCGATTTTGTCTCGGCTCTTGTCCATGTCATCGGCAGTCGTCCGCAACATCCTCATCATCAACAGTCACT